GCTCCAGCGATCCTCCCACCTTGGCCTCCCAGAGTACTAGTACCTGGCCAAGATGGAAAAACGGGAATTGAAACATTGGTCGCTTGCCCCACCCCTACTGTGTGTTGGCTGTCTGAATTAGCTCCAATCCTGACAGCAACCCTACACGTGAGGTACCCTGGCATGGAGGACAAGCAAAACCCGACGAGGGCCTTGCTCTCCAAAATCTAATGACAAAGGAACGAACCCAAAGTCACACAGCCAGCGAGTCCTAGCCTGAGGATCCGGCTCCAGCGCCACAAGATGGCGACACTCAAGTTTGTTCTGCCCCACGGTGGGGACACCCAATGCCTGGCTGCCCTGCTTCCCTTCACCTATGTCTTTAGCCAGGAGCATAACTTGACCATCTCAAACGTCCACTCCGACAAAACACCACCGGGCACCCCCAGGATGAGTCAGTCCTGGCTGCAGGAGAGGCTGGCCCACTGCCCTGAGGCCAGCGGTGAGGTGCCCTGAGACAGCTTGTCTTCCGCAAGGCTCCGCCTGAGCCCTGCCTGAGATGGTGCCCAGAAATGCCCTCCCACTGCCGGGTGAAGCACCCAGGAGCAGGGCCCACGCACAGGCCACCGTGGGCCCAGGAGCCCAGGCCAGCAGCACCCACTGTCTCTGTTACCCGCTAGTAGGAAGCACAACCACGTGCACTGGAATCCCTTCTACCTGGACTGGCATGACAAAGCTGACTCCCTCCTTAAAATTTATTTACTTATTACGGGCTGGACAGGCGGACCACATCTGCTGTTTACAGAAAATTGTAACTTTTTCTCCTCTTCTGTCTTCACTCCTCCCCTCCTCCAATCAGACAAGTTGTCTAGGAAACAAATTTGATGTATTCCGAAATCTTCCTAGGACAAATGGCATAAAAGGAAAAATAAAAATTCTTTGTGTTTACTAACTGCCACAAAAAACATCAAATAAATCAAAGGCAGGACGGGCACACCGAGGAGGAGCATATGTGACAAAAATAAAAAACAATTAACACGCGTGCGCGCTCACAGATGACTTCCCATGGGATTTGTGACCACCCTGGGGACACAGATTTTAATTCCCAAGGAGAAACCACACCATCTGGATGTGTCACTGTTGGTGCGGGACACACAGTAGGTGCTTAGGAAGCATCTGCTAAGCAAAGTCCAAGGTTAGTTTGGCCCCCCAAGAAAACACCAGACTGCAGAAACCCATGAGAACGAAGGTGGCTTCTCTTTTCCCGTCAGTGACAAGATGCCTGGAAACATTTCAATCAAGCAGTGGAGTGGTGACCATTTATAAACAAGCCTTTGAGGAATTACAGCTCGAAAATAAAGAATGCTAGCGTCACCTGTGCCCCAACCCCTGTTTAATGAATAAACGACTTTTCCAACGGGACCCACCATTCTGAAATACCACATGCCACTTTTTTTTTAAGTAAGGTGAAATAAAAGGTAAGCAGCTTATTTGGACTTCTTTGGTGCAGAGGAAACAAAGCCCACAGACAAAGCCTCTGCCAGCGGACAAACACGTCTAGCAGGTGATCAAATTCAACCCAGGGACGCAAACAGCAAAATGGATCCTGGTCCTGCTTATGCAGAACTCCTGGCCGTCGGGTACAGTCGACACCCCGGTCGCCAGCCGCCGGGAGCCAGGGAGGGCCCGGGGCTGGGCAGCCTGGGCAGCCTGGATACAGAGGCACCACCTCCAGGCCACAGCCAAGGCGGAAGGGCCCTTCCCCGAGAACGGTGCGACCCTGGGTCCCCCAGGGAGAGGGCCCCTGCCTGCCTGTCTCCCCGCCCATGTCAGCTGTCGCCTGTGTGCTTCCTCCTTTGTTGACGAGCATTCCCGGATCCAAAGTCTCCAAGCACAGGGTGCATCAACCTGGCCGCGGTCACAAGCCACTTAGGCACACTGTTGGCTTGGGAGGATTTAATCAGTAACTGGCCCAGGAGATGAGGGCAGGGCAGGCTCCGACCTGATCCCACAGAAGGCAAAGTTTACAGCCAGGCCAGGGGGTAAGGCTGCTGGCTCCTCGAGTGAGACAACCTGCAGGCGGGTCAGGTCCCTGGACCCCAGGCTGTGGGCTGAGTCCACAGTGCCAGGTCCCTCTCTGGACCTGCAGCAGAGAATCAAGAGAGGTCCAGTAGTGTACCCGGCTGGTGCTACCCACCAGGCAGGCCTGGGAGCCCCAACACGCCTGCATCCCCGTCTGACGCTCCTGGAAGCCTGGGCTTATAACCGCTCATGATTCACATAATTGGATCAGTGTAGACAGACTCCATAGATGGTGTGGGCAAGAAAGAGTATTGGGTTTATTTATCGGTTTGAACCCAGATCAGTCTCTTGTTTCTGAAGCCCATACGGTTAACCAAACATTTACCAGATGACTCTGAGTTGGGCTGTGTAGACAACTTAAAATATGGATGATATACACTTCATGTGAGAATGCAGCTCTATATGAAACATATTTGATATATCTGGGCCAGGCTATTGAAAGCCGAGGGCTGCCAAGGGTCTCTTGCAGTGAGCTGCGCTCCCACTCACCTTTGTTTCACTTGGACTAATATTTCTCAATAGAGTACTTGGGCTGCACAAGAAAATGCAGACAGATTACATAATGCCCGGGCCTCAGGGAAACCCCCCAGGGGCTCCTTCGCTTCTCCAACAGCCTGGACACCAACCAGGTGTCCCAGGATGGAACAAGGGCCCTGGTGGCAGCCGCGACGCCCCCTCTGCCCTGGAGGCCACCACTCCAGCCGCTCCTGCCCTCAGCAGCCCAGCCACCATGCTCGCAGGCCCTGGCCAGGAGAGCCTCCCCCACTGGAGCCCACCCCGGAGCACGGGTGAGACCTAAGGACACCCCTTGCCTGCAGGGCTGGGGACGAAAGGTGGCAGAGGGGGGCTTACGCCAGCCCCCGGACACTTCCTTGTAGTTCCTCTTGGCACATTTCCTCACGCCAGAGCACAGCTCTGCCAAGACAAATTATGTCCCACGGGAACCCTCGGTCTCCAGCCTCCGACAGGTGCTCTCCAGAGAGGCCCAAGGTGCCCCCACCTGGCTGGCCAAGGCCCCTCGCTACTGAGTCTTCAGCTTTCCTTCTCTCTCACATACATCTCTCAAGCAATCGGAGGGGGGCCCTTAGCCTCCCAAGCTCATGCCCCAAAATGAGGGTAGCAGCAGAGGGTATGCACTCCCAGCTTCTCCCAGGGAGGGCAGGGGCTCAGCGTGTCCCTCCCAGGCAGGTCACTGTCCCAGTCAACCACGTTCCTCCCTCCAACTTCCCTTCATTTTGAGGGGTGACAGAAAAAAATAACAAAGCCCAATAAAGTCTCCCTGAGCCAGGTGAGGATTCTAGAACCAAATCTGGAGGCTCCAGGTCCCATGCAGGGAGGCGGCAGGGTCACCGGCTCCTCCCTAAATCCGAAACACTCTGTGCCGGCCAATTTTCGGAGGCTCCCTCTCCCTCCATCCATCGTAAAGCCAAGTCCTGAGGCCTGTGGTACGGGACGGGCTTAAGGAACAAGCACCAGCCTGACACCCGGGCTGGGCCGCCACCCGGCAGCCAGCAAGCCTCTCTGAGAACGGAGTCTTTGCAGACACTGCACCAACGTGCCCACAGGAAAGAGAAAATAGGTGCTTAGGCACGCCGGCACGCCGGCCCCCAAATTCAGAATAAAAGTCCTCGTGCGCGGCAGTGCTCTGGGTGGGGGCCGGGGACTGATTCAAGGAGTAGGATTCTTCGGCGAACTTTTCCCCCTCCCCATTCCTTGGAGCCTGTGTCATGGCCTGTGACACACCGCCAAGGGAACATGGATGCCGGGGAAATGTCTACACACGCTGCACGTTTGTGACATGCCATGTAAGCGACACCCTGTTTCCTGGCTGGGCTTTCTTGGCACAGGTGTGGGCAGGCCTTGGATTCTGCCCCCTCCCACTGTGCTCAGTAAACAGGATCCCAGCGGCCCCCCCCCCAGGAAGTGTGCATTCTGGGGAAGACGGGCCACCTCTCCAAAGAGGATGAGACCCCCACCGCAAAGCTCAGGCCTGAGCCACAGCCGGTATTTGAAACTGTTCTTGTTTCAAAACACAAAGCATCCTGTTCAGGCTCCTACCCGCCACCCCCATTCTCCCCTCGACCCCACCACAGCTGTCTTTCCCCACGTAGAAGGAGGCCACCATTTGCAGATCTGATTTCAGAAACAGATCAATGGTGTCTCCTCTCCATCCCATCCAGCTGACCCAGTCCCAGCCATATATTTAAAAACAACAACAAAATAAAACCTCCAGCAACAAAACACACACGCATACACACTCTCTCTCCAGACAATGCAAGACCAGGCTCGACAAACCAGTTTCCAGGCTAGGACCTGACCACCCCTGGGCTGGGGCCAGGACCACTGCCCCCTCCCCCTCCACGTCCAGCCTCCCAATGTGCGAACGAGATTTTCAGAAAGGGAAGCACCCAGTTTCGCCTGCCAGCCCGGGCAGGAAAAAGAATAAAGGACGGGTGAAGCAAAGAAAGGACTTGGCTTCTGGAAATTCCTTGGGTTTAGGGGTTTGGGGTTTTGTTGTCTTTTAATTTGAGAGGGTTGTGTTTTGTTTTCCGCTCCAGCTCAGCTCCAGATGGGCCAGGGGCTTACAAAAAGGGCCCCCCCCCGCCCCCATCGGGGCCCAGCCCCGGCTCTGTCCCACGGTCCCAACCAGCAGAAACGCAAGAGCGGGGGGCAGAAGGTCCCCCAGCGCCCAGCCTGGGGTGGGCCAAATCTCCGGAATTCTAAGGGTCTCTCGAGCCCGGCCGGCTAGTCTGGGCTCCAGACCCCAAAATCCAGCCCGGCGGGCAGGCCAGGAGCGGGACGCCCTGGCTCTCCCCTCTCCCCGGCGCCCCCACCACCACACAGGCCCTGAGCCCCAGGTGCAGCGCCGGGGGCAGCGGGGGCGCATCTCGGGCCCCCCGGGGGGCGGTGTGGGGGTGCAGCCGCGCCGAGCCACTCACCGTGGCGGACGCCAGGCTGTTGTCGGCCAGCGTTAGGTGGTGCGGCTCCCAGCGCCTCAGGAATTTCGAGGTGAGAATCTTGCTGAGAAAGGTCCGCGGGTGCCGGATGACACAGACCTGAATGTCGCCCTCCTGCAGCAGTTTGTACCTCATCCCGTTGCAAAGCAGAAGGGCTCGGCGACAGGGCACGGCGCCCATCTTCGTGCCCTCGGGGGCCGACACGTCGCCCCCCAGCAGCGGCTTGGTCTCCTCG